AGGAGGAGGAGGAGGAGAAGGGAGGAGGAGGAGGAGTCGGAGTCGGAAGCCTTGGCATCTGTCTGGGGTTCGACTGCGTCCGAACCTATTGCTGCTGGCACGTCAGATCGGCAGATCTACGGGTCGCCTACGAGACCCTTGGCTTTTTAGGCCTCTCGGCCCGCTGCAGCGCGGGGCCTTCCCGAAAAACAAAATCGTAATGGAAACGGCAGGGGCTTAGGACCGTCGGGCCAATCGCCCCTGACTCGGGACGTGTCCCACCCAGTGTAACAGTCTTCCCGCCACCTCCACTCCCCCGCACCCCAGCGCCCACCCTCTCCCCCAAGTTCCAATATCTAAAGCTGCTGCTCGCTACGCCGTGGCACATGTCTGGTCCCGAGGTCCAGGCTCCCGTGACGAGGAGGGCCAGAGGGCCCACAAAGGGGCCCACCGAGACGGGCTGACGCCGCGGGAACCAGGAAAAGAGAAAAGTGGGGCACCCTTTGGCGCCAGTATCCTCAAGACATGTGTTTCACGACTTCGCTTGTACGAAGACACGAGTAACCATCACGTGTGGGTGATGCGTCGTAGCAGGTCCTTCGCCCTGCGACTGCCAGCCCTGGCGGGCTCTCTAAGTCCTGTCATCTCATTCACTCCATCGCTAGTTGCCGCGCTCGCAGTGCTGCTTGTACTTTCCTCTCGAGACCTGGTGGCGGCGGTGCTCCGAGTATCTGCTCTGCTCCTGCTGCTCGGAGTATGTCCACGACGGCTTTCCTGAGGTCTCCGTTCTGCGTGGTGCGGCTTATCTTGACGGGCTGCTCTTGTTTTCCTTCTCGGCTGGCGTTGATCTGGCCCTCCCAGCAAACTGTCCACGGGCTGCGGGCGAGGCTGTTGAGCGTCAGGTAAAGCTTCCATCTCTCTAGCTGTCCCGCTTCGCTGTAAGTCTTCTTGATTTTGAAGTACGAGACGGTGTCCCCGTAGCCCTGCATGCCCAGCACGTCGATCAGCAAACGGGACTCCATCAGACTCGTCTTGTTGGTCCCCTCGGCCTTGTCGTTGAGCCCCATCTCCAGGGAGAAGTCTGCGCCGATGTGGAGGTGCGGAGGCCCCATGTCCTTGTTGTTCTTCTCCTTGGCCTTCTCCACGTAGGTTGTGCTCGCTGCTACCGCGGCGGCTTCTGCTGAGTGCTCGCCTGGGATCAGGAAGAAACCCCAGAGGCTACCCGTCAGCTGCCTCATCATCTGCGCGTTGTCACTCTCTTTGCCAGTGGCCTTCTTCGGCCCTCCGAGCAGGCGTACCCGTTGCTGCCGCATCTCGTCGTATCCAATGATGTCCTGTTCTTGCTTGGGGAACGTCTCCTGCATGGCTTCACTAGTATTGTCATAAAGCATGTCCCACCACTGTTGAACGTTGCCTTGGTCCCAGGCTTGGCGCCACTCCGTCTCGTCTATCTGCCGGGTCTTCTCCCCAACTTTTTTAAAAGCTCCTGGCGCCTGTAGCCCCGGCGAGCTCGCACGCCGCACGCGGGGGCGGAGCTGGCCGAGGGTATGGGCGGGAGGAGAGCGCGGGAGGAGAAGGAGAAGAACGAGAAAGAGGAGGCAGGAGGAGAGGAAGGAGTGGAAGGAGGAGGAGGTCGCGAGCGTATGAACGGGAACGTCTGCATGTGCATGGCCGCGAGCACGGACTCAGGCTCCAGGACGAACTTGTGCTCTTGCGCACGTTCGTTAACGGCGCCGCCCTCACCACGCGCGAGCCGAGGCTGGCAGAAAGGGCGGGCAGGGCGTTCCGCTTGAGAGTTCTTCGCCATGTTGATCTTGAAGCTTAGAATGTGCAAGCGCTTCACGGATGGAGGGCGGGAGGGTTTCAAAATGCACCCTTCTCTTTAGCTCCGCGCACACCCGTTTTTAAGGATACCAGAAAATACCCAATCGTAATATTTTTAGGGCTATAGGGCTATGGGGCTATCAGGCTATGGGGCTATGGTTTTATAGGGCTAGAGGGTTATAGGGCTATAGGGCCGTAGGGCCGTAGGGCTATATGGCTATAGGGCTATAGGACTATAGGACTATAGGGCTATAGAGCGATAGGCCTATAGGGCTATAAGGCTATAAGGCTATAGGGCTATAGGGCTATCAGGGCTACTGCGCTATTGGGCTATAGAGCTGTTGGGTTATTAGGGCTATAGGGCTATAGATCTATCGGGCTATAGAGCTACTAGGCTATAAGGCTATAGGGCTACCTGGCACCCGGGCACCCGGGCACCTGGGCACCTGGGCACCCGGGCACCCAGGCACTTGGGCACCCGGGCACCCGAGCACCCGGGCATTTGGGCACCCGAGCACTTGGGTACCCGGGCACCCGGCACCCGAGCACCTGGGCACCCCGGCATCCCCGGGCACTTGGGCACCCGGGCACCCGGGCCGGCCACCGAAATCGGCCTCGCACCTCACCTAACCAGATGCATCCGCTAGGACCCCTACAGAGGCAAGCTCTGATTGGGGAATGTGTAACAGTTTCACAGATGGAGGGCGGCTCCTTTCCAAAACGTGGCTCTCGCCTTAGCGCCGCGCACAGTCGTTTTCAGAGCGCATGGCAGTTTCAAGGACTCTCATGGTTCACATCCCCAAAAATGTGTTCTGGCACGTTTTCGGATCGTCAAAGCGCAACACTAACGGCAATTCGCGGCGCTACAGTCCCAGGAATAGTGTTCTAGTACAGTTGAAGATTTTCAAGAAGTTGTCTTCCAACGGGGCTTTTCCTTCAATGAAACTGAATCTTTATCGTGCCATATGAAGAGGGAACTTGGAGGGAGAGTTCGTTGCAATATCGATGATGAGTCTTGAGTGTGCATTGGTCCTCCTCCTCCTCTTCATCCTCCTCCTCCTCCTCCTCCTCCCGCCTCCTTCCGCTTCGTCCCTCTGGGAGGGCGACTGGGGTGGGGACCCAGATCCCCTCGAATCATAAAAAATCGTGTTTGAAGGTTCTTGTTCTATTTTCGGCCTCTGGGGGCCCTTGCCGGGCCTCGGGGCCGTGAGAAAACGATTCAGAGTGAAAAACCAGTCCCAGGGAAATTAGTCGAGACCTCTGGGGATCGACGTTTTGAAAAGTCATGGCGTCGGGGGTCTCGGGAAGTAACACCAACACACACACACACACACACACACACACGCACACTTTGCGTCGGCGGCTAGGCAGAGGGTGGCTGCGCTGGCGATGAATGGCATGGCACACACACACACGCACACGCACACGCACACGCACACGCACACACACACACACACACACACACACACACACACACACACACTCACACTCACACACACACACACACACACACACACACACACACACACACACACACACACACACGCACACGCACACGCACACGCACATCCTCGCGTCGCGAGAAAAAAAACACGACGCGGGGAGTTTTGCCGCTTTCGGCCTCCAGGAACTCTTGCTGGGCCCCAGGGTAGGCCAGAATCGATTCGGAGTGAAAGCCGGTTCGCGGGAGGGGGGGTCTTGTCCTTTGGGGAGCCGACCTATGAGAGATCGCGGCGTTGTGGGGGCTTTGGCCCGCTCAGCAGTAGGTTGTTTTACTGCTTGGCGCACGCGTCCACAGAGGTGCATTCCTCGTCTTGACAGTGGCCCTGCTCGATGTTACACCCATGGACGTAAACCACTGGCGCGGCAGAGAAAAACCTGAGCGCCTGAGGCATCGCTCCACCTCCGCAGATCGAGGAGGAGGAGGAGGAGGAGGAGGAGGAGGAGGAGGGGGAGGAGGGGAGAAGGAGGAGGAGGAGGAGGCGACGCAAGAGAATCGCGGCAGCCGGTGTTTGTGTTGCCGTTCTCGTGCGCCTGGGTGCCGCTTCTGGGCCCCCAGGCCGTCAGGAAGCGCGTCGGGGTGGAAGTCGTGCCCTGTCGAGGGGCCGAAATACCCAGGGGCCCGTGCCGCTCGCCATGGAACAAGCGGATCATAAGGTGTTTCAGCGATCTCGGGCGGTCGGGGCCCTCCTCAAAAAAAAACCCGGGATGGAGAATTGGTCCTGGAAGAGTGCCCTGAATTCCAGGGCCCGCTTCCCTCAGAGCCAGTCTCCTCAACGCCAACTCAGGAACAATATGTGACGTCGGAGGAGAAGGGTGGCCTCGCTCCACCTCCGCTTGGCCAGGAACACGGGACCTCGCCCCCCACCTCCTCTCGTTGCGAAAATATACATGAGCGGTATGTTTTTGGCCGTTTTCGGCCTCTGCGGGCCTTTACCAGGCCCATGGGCCGACCAGAAATTACTCCAGACGAAGAACAGCCGGTGCAAGGGAAAAGATCCTCCTCCTCCTCTTCCTCCTCCTCCTCCTCCTCCTCCTCCTCCTCCTCCTCCTCCTCCTCCTCTTCCTCCTCCTCATCCTCCCTCCTCCTCCTCCTCCTCCTCCTCATCCTCCCTCCTCCTCATCATCCTCCTCCTCCTCCTCCTGCTCCTCCTCTCCTCCTCCTCCTCCTCCTCCTCCCTCTCTCGCCTCCTTCCGCCTCCCTCTCCTCCTCCTTCCTCTCCTCCTCCTCCCTCTCCTCCTCCTCCGCCTCCTCCTCCTCCTCCACCTCCTCCTCCTCCCTAACAACGTCGTCGGTACAGGTGGACAATAGCCAAGAGTTAGACAAATCCCAGCTGGCTACGAATGCGATTATGACATATGTGGTCGGTGCAAACGGGAGCCAGAGACCCCTGTTCCATTGTGTCTACACATGCCCCTGTAACAAAGGGAGCGACGCATACGAGAAGACATATTACCTTGTGACGAAAGCGATGGCAGGAGTGGATGCCAACCCATCGTTATGGTTGCGAGGCATTCCACCGAAGGATTGCACATACCCGATCGTCACCGACATCGACAGGCAGGACTACGTCAGGTTTGGCTCCTTCGAGCAAGCGAGGGTCCCTGGCAAGAAGCTATACATCTTCGGAGACGGATCGGGAGGAGCTCACGGAGCAGATCCCAGGCGCAGAAGGGTCGGCATCGGGGTAGCGGCCATGAAGATGGTCGATGGCGAGTGGAACATGACAGCGGGCACGATGGCAGATCTACCTGGACGGTGCCAGACAGTACCGAGGGCAGACCTCACCGCCTTCGCGATCGCAATCGAAGAGACTATTGGTGATATCGTCTAGGCCATGGACCACTACCCTTTGCTCAACGCTTGGAACAAAGGCAAAGCGCGAGACCCAGGACGCAGTAGAAATGCAGATATATGGGCACGCATCGAGCGAGCCAGCATGGGGAACGAGCAACGGCACATCGAGGTGGAATGGACGCCCTCCCATCAGGACGATGACGGGGCGGAACTGGTCAATCCGATCTTCGCGGTGGGCAACGGCTTCGCGGACGCGCTTGCGACGGTGGCAGCAGAGCCGTCTTAGGAAAGGGTATGTCAACCGCTGCCGCGCACGGACGAGCGGGATGCGATTTGCGCCCATGTGCGACTCCGTGCACGACAAGCGCTGGCCGATTGCAGATGCTGATCCTTGGTGTGCCGAAAGACCGCCCACAGCCAAGCCCAAAGTAAAGACTAATAATGCAACAGTCATGGCCGAGAAGTCTAAGCACGACACGGTCAAGTTGAAGAATAAGTGGTTTTGCACGGCGTGCTGGCAATATGTGACCGCGGACGCCTTGCAGGAGCTCGTGGACACGCAGTGCGAGACCACCTTTGTCATTGCCAATGAGATTGTTGACGTCAAGGGTGATCGCGTTATGGGCAATGGCAAGTTACACACGGCACACACGGTCAGCGAATGGACGAAGTACGGCCTTTTGTTATGTGCCGAATGCGTTGCGCACGGCACTACGATTGGCAAGGGTTTGAGAGAAAAGTGCGAGGAGGTCATCACAAAGAACGGCCAGGACGCATTGAACCGCATTCGTGATGGAAGATATCTTGGCTACAGAGGCCCGCCGAAGGCGGCTCTGGAAGCGGAACGAGCCAGGCTTGCCAGGCAGACGCAGTAACTTTTTGCTCCGCATGTACCGCAGCAACTTACTGGGCCACCACCACCGCCAATTGCTGAGCCACCTGCTCCACGCACACGACGTCGTGTTTCGAGAAGGCCTGCCTGACATGAAGTCGCTCAAGCACGGGGTGGGTTTCATCGAGTGGGGCAAGTTGTGGCGGCAGTTCATACTGCAGATGGAGTCGACACAGTGCCTGGCCTGGACGCAGCGCAGACGCAGGTGATGGATTACGACGACCCTCAGGTGCAGCACGATTTTGAGGAATTGTTCGGAGAAGCCGAGTCCAGAGTGCAGCGGTCTGGACAACCACAGGTAACCGCAGCAAGTTCATCCTCGACGGCATTGGTACAGCCCGCTCGAGAGTACACTGCACTGGAGTTATTTCATGTTGATGAGGAACTTCTTGCTCAACATGTACCGCAGCAACATAATCGGCCACCACCACCGCCAATTGCTGAGCCACCTCCCCCGCGCACAAGTCGTCGAGTTGTGGGAAGGCCTGCAGGACATGGAGTCGCTCAAGCTAGGGTTGGAGTTTCTCGAGTGGAGCAAGCTGCGTCGCAAGTACACCCTGCAGATACAGTTGGCACAGTACGTGACCTGGACGCAGAGCAGATGCAGATGATGGGTTACGACGACCCCCCTGGGGGGTGGTCCTGCGGGGCGCTCCTTCCCTGCAGGGGGCCATTACCCTGGGGCGCGGTCACCCTATGCCGCGAGGGCTGGGGCTGGGTGGCTGTCCGTGGTACCCAACCCACGGGGTTGCCCTACCCAGTGTAAGAAAGGCCAGACGGTCACATAGGGGAGGCGGTCGTGGGGTTCTCCATCGCCGCCGACCTCACCCTGCTCATGGGGAGGTGGCCAAAGTGTCGCCGACAGGCACCGCATGGTCACTGCCTGTAATTCGGTGCACGCCGGGGGACTTCCCGGCGCCTATCGGCACCGGCCATGCTGGCCGCGGCAGCTTCGTTCTGTGTTATCGACGCACGGCGGGCCGGGAGCTGTTGGAGCTGATCGAGGTCCCCTCGCATCGTCCATTGCGACACGGAGTAATTCGTGGAGTGTTGGGTTAATTCGACTCAGTTGGGTGGCCACACGTGTCCGGGGGCCCATCTGACCCGTATTCATCATTCCCCACGCATGCAGTCACCAGCATTGCATGCAAGCCCGCCGAGCGAGCTGCGAAGAGAGGTTACGACGACCCCGATGTGCAACACGACCCTGGAGAAATTTGCGGAGATACCGAGTCCAGATTGCAGCAGACTGGACAACCATAAATATTCGCAGCAAGTTCATCCTCGACGGCAGTGGTACAGCCCGCTGGAGAGCATATTGAACTGGAGTTGTTTCACGACGATGAGGAGATGTACCCGTCGTCTGCCAGCGGTGAGATATGGCCTCCGCCTTCTGAGTCCCTCGCCGCCGCTGCCGCTCGCCCGCCCGTCGTGAACTCCAGTGCGCCCGTGACCTTGGCACCTGGGAGTGGGTCCCCACCGCGCCCAAAGGGCCGACGAGCGGCGGTGGACTGGATGGATGAAGTGGCTCCTGTGCCTGTATGAGGTGGCGGGTCTAGTGGAATACTTAACCTAATCTAATCCTCCCCATCTTCCTCCTCCTCCTCCTCCTCCTCCTCCTCCTCCTCCTCCTCCTTCCTCCTCCTCCTCCTCCTCCATTCTGTCTGTGAGAGATTGTGCATTCTCACCTTTTTCCCAATCGTTGCTCTCTGTCCCGTTTCCCGACTCGGCGCGTCCCCTCATGCGCTCGTTACTCCTTCTCTTCCTCTTCCTCTTCCTCCTCCTC